TTATTTTCGTATAACAACGAAAAACGATGCTCTCATAAATCATCAGCTGTATTTCCCCCGAAGGGATTTGGTGATACATAGGTTAAATTGTTGCGGCAAACAAACAGGTGTCATGACTGCTGTTTGCCGCGATATATTCTACGGTGTGTTATGCCCTTAGCGAGATATGATACAGTTGTCTGGGTTATCATTTTTCCATACACATCACATAAAGCTTCTATGGGGAAGCCGACCCGTTAATAGAACAGGCACGGACGGCATCCCAGGCGCTTGTGACCATATCACCCTACCCATAGCACGGTGGTGCGTGGATAACAAACGGCTTGTTAGTGTGCTAGCCATTTACGAGCTGGTAAACGTCTATATAGTCCATCAGTCATTGGAACGACGTTGATCAAAGACGGCAGCAGCAAGGAACAACATTATGCCTCTGGTGTGTACATGACTGTTGATTTCCTTCGCATGTTTTACTGTGACATTTTTCCAAGAAGCTTTTGGAGCTCGCCCGAGAGCGAATCTTTCGCTATTGAACTTGACTTATTTCAAGGACAATGAAGCAAAGAACTGCGTGTAAACTCCCTTGGCTCGCTCTAGTGTTTGCAAATAAACACAAAATGAATGGTTCATCAATGGTTGTCCTGGCATGGAGAGGCTTAAAAGTTGATAAGTGACTCCAACCGATTGCCGCGCCAAGAGGTTGTGGCATGTCAAAGTATTTGCAACCAAATATCAAATTACATGTCGTAGAGCAATGTTGTAAGTACCAAAAATATCCGGCTTAACACTGATTTCCGTTCACCAAACTGTCCAGCTTGTTGCCCAGTCTCGGAGGGTTGTCAACGGCGGGGCTACGCCATCCACCGCCGTCACCTGCTGACCAACTCCACGAGCTGCACCGTTCTGCCGTGCGCCATTCGCCCGCCGTCACTTGCTGATCACTTCTCAGGTGACTCCGCCCTCCCGTGACGGACGGGCCGTCACTGCCCACCGCGTCGCCGCCCGCCGGGGGCCTCGGTCACAACACCATGAGTTCTAATGGATTTCGCACCCCAGCGTAATCACGACGGAGAATGTTCTTAGGCCGACCCCGGCTCTGTCCTAATGGTCTGCCCATTTGAGAATCTCGTGGATAATCTGGGAATTGTTTGATAGGTTGCAATCGTATTCGCATGAAAGCCGCGATGGGTTTTGGCCAAGAGAGCGTGAGAGACAAACAATATGCCTAGGTACGAATACGTGAAGCACGGTATAACAGACAATGGCGGTCGACTCACCAGCCACATCATGGACCGACCTTTGGACTGACCTGTGTATGTGCGAGCTATTCTGACGTTCCGGACGTCCAGCGTGCGGTGGATATCAGCTGAAAGTCCGTGTTGTGAGTGATGTTCTCGGCTGACTTCCTCAATGAAAGGAGTCGGATATCGGGCGACTTCAGGAAGAAAATCCGTGTTTCCCGCAGTCTCAGCCGCGAGTTGCACACACCGATCTTATGGAACCCTTCCACCACCAGCTGGGGTCGGCTGACCTGACCTGAGATGACCCGTTTGACCTCCACCAGGCCCAAACGTTTGACCGGGAAGCGAACTCCCGGCACATGGACGGGGTAGAAGGCCAACATCTTGCCTGTGATTACCACCGGTCGGGGGCTTGTGTCAGGAAACACCCGACATTTCCTCCTCCGGCCTGCCTGGGCCAGGGCAGGACAGGTCAAACACGTCACAACCAGGGCCAGCGTTAGCCATCGTGCCGTAGCCATGTCGACGGCCTCAGTGGCTCCGTCCAGTCTGACGCGTCGATCGCAGGCCTGCGAAGGCCATCAGGTGTTCTTGTCGCTCGGACATGTGTTCCGGCCGGAATCTATGCCACCAAAACACAGAGCAAGGCTGTGTAAACACTGCACTGCTGGCTCAACGCTTGAGTGGTCCGGAGGTGCTTGGTTTACCGCTTGTTCCGGTCCGGATCCAACATAACGGTCTCGCGCAACAACGCTGCTATTGACGGCCTTTTAAATCGCACTCCAAAATAGGTCGCACCTCGAGAGGCCGGGCACCCCTATGTCGCTGAAGGCAGATGCTGCCGTAGCCTGGAGCACGTGAACAGCCGAGGCCTGGAGCAGGCGGCGGCAGAGCTGACCCTCGAGAGCGGTGGAGGGCGCCACCGTCACGCTCCAGTCTCCGGCGTCGACTGAGCGGCAGGCCACTCCAGCCGTGCGCCCGCGTCTCCTCCGGGGCCGACGGCTGTGAGAGAACGGGCGGGAGGGTGGATGAAGACGGCGGGGCGGTAGAGGACGGGAGTGACGACGGTGGAGGGAAGAGGGCGGGAGCTAAGGAGGACGGGAGGGAAGAGGGCGAAAGCTGTTGTCAGGAATGATACATCAAGGGAGGATAAAGCACAGGAACAGTAGACCACAGGCGGGCAAAGGTTGGAAACGAATTACTTTGCGAACCCCGAAGACACAGTAGGGGAACAGCGGAAGGGCAGATAAGCACAGGATTGCAAGCAGCGAGGAAGGGACAGGGCCGGGGGCACACAACGCAGAGGGGACAATAAGGGAGTATGAGGGAGAGGATGTGAATAACGAATGAAACAGCATTGACCGGTGAAAACTTTGCGACGACAGATAGGAAATATCATGTAGTTGATAGTAACGAAAAGTGTGTAAAAGTAAATGCAACGTTACTCTGAAATAATACGACAAAAAGCTTTGTATATTTATTTGCAAGTTACACACAATTTGCAATATGCAGCTACCTACGTTGTTACGCAGGAACCAGCGAAAAATTTGTTCGAACTAAAAAAGACGTGAATTGAAAAGTAGCTGCAATCAGTGGCTTTCAACGCAAATAGCTACTTTCGTCATTGCTGATAATTTATATAGAGGTTGTTGCGAGCTGACAAGAGACAAACTCATGCAACGTTCGTGATCCATGCTAGAGGCTCTGACCAGGAATAAAGTTTTCCTCTACCATATGATAATGACCAAGATTGTGTCAAATTCATGCAGCTCGTCATGGTGTAAGCGCGGGGTTCAAAAATACATAACTGATCACACCCGTTAAATGGCATGAGCGTCCCGTGCAATATTTCTACAAGCAAACTAAGACACGCCACACCACCTCGCCGCTGCACATGGAGGCACGCCTCCTGCGAGCGTTGTCTGTCCTTCAGTGGTGAGCGAGATGTTTTCTGACCACACAGCATACTCCGTGCCGCTCCATCTCACTGGCCGCGCTGCGTCAGGACCGGTGGATGGGTCAAACACACTCCCTCCCGTTCCCCTCCCCCGGGACCAGGCGAGTAAAGAACGCTGACGTTCCTGCCAGCGAACCAGACCCCAGCCAGCCGCCGGCTCTGGGCATCGCCAATGTGACGGGAAGCGGTCACGGTCACAGGCCAAACCTAGCGCTGTCCGGGCGGCTTCAGGGAGGGGTAGGGTATTATTGGAGTATTATTATCATTACTTTTTCGGGTACAAGTGGAGGCCATGCGATGATACCATTTGATCGCTATGAATGTTTCGGACATGCCATTGCGTAAACAGACTGTTAAGTGTGTAAACAATGGCTCAGTCTTTCGTTAACGCATGAAGCATTGCTTGTAAAAGCAATCGTTGCGTTGTTTGATGTCTGCAAATCAGGTCTCGACCGATTGAATGTGCCAATAACTCAGTTAAAAAAGGTCGGGTATCTGTAAGTTTAGCACAATATTTCACAATTAATAAGACAAGTGGCGGGTTTCACAGATTCATAACACACTCCGGACATAAGTGATTACGTGTTTGAGGTCCAGAGCTCTAGGTGAGGAAGATGCCATTGCAGCACATCTGATTATGGAATGCCTATGAAGATTTACGGGGAGGGGTGAGGGCTTTGCTCCACCCAATTGCTGATGGCACGAAGAGTCTATGGCGCCATATCTAGCGTACTGAACTACTGACCTACGGAATATATGCTTAAGTCCGCCGCCGTGTGGAGAGGGGGAAATGATGAGAGCCGTAGGGGGAGTGGACATGTTTAAAGCTGTGGAGTGAGAGAAGATGATGGCAGGAGCTCACATTGATTTTACGACACCCTGTAATCCATGCGACCCATCTACAAACGGTCACCAGACGCCACCCGTGGACTGTCCATCCAGTCATCCGGGATCCCATGACCCGCTTGGCACACATAGGTGCCGGTGTCGGACCGTCACGCGACCTTTCACCACCGGGTGACGCGACACGGCCGGCCGGGGTGGCGGGGCCCACTGTCTGACAGTGAGCTGTTGGCACCGGCCGCTGTGACGGACACCGGTCGACCAGGACAGGGCCGTGACCTTGGCCTGACGAACGGTGGCCCGCCGTGTGCACGTCCACTGACCCCTGGTGACCTTTCGAGCTGCCAGATCGGGCCAGTACGCCGTTTAGCTCGGTCGGAACGTGTCAGTGCTACGTCGACCGGACCCAGTATGGGGGCTCGTGTGCTCATCGTGTTGGCCCTGGCTGTGGTGGTGTGTCAAGCCGTTTCAACAAGGCGAGGCGCGTACATCTGGTGTTAGGGCCTGAAACTGAGCCACGCTTAGTCTGGCCCTGTTCTGACTGAAGTAAAGGTGAGCTTGCAGTTGAAGTTTGGAGCTTCTGATGTTGTGCCAGGAAGTTTTAAAGATCTTGTATTATAACGCAATGACTTTGATACGGCCGTCCGCTCCCATTCTGACGCACTAATGAATGTAATGCTGTCCATTAAGCTTACTGAAGCCGTGCAACGGACTGACGCCGTATGGAGGAGGGGGGGGGGGGGGGGGGGGGGCGCCGACGTGGTGAGATTGGTACGCACAGCAACATAGAACTTATGCCAGTAAAGACCTTCACTGGTCGTCTAGTGCACCTTGTTTAGTCTTTTAGTCTAGTGCAAATATAAGAATTTGCTTACACACCAGCTTTGCACTTCACGTAAGATAGAGCGGTTTGTTGGTTTTAACCCATATACATTTAACCTACATTTGCTGATACCTTTCACAGTAAATCCCGGTGTTTGTCTGGACGGTGAGAGGAAGACCGACGGTTGTAACCAGTGTTCCTGCTTGGGAGGGGCCTGGGCTTGCACCCTCAGAGCCTGCGTCGACCCCACAGGTACGGGCCGGGGGAAAGTACACCACTCTGTATCAGGTGTGACGTCAGGAGTACCCCATGTTCAGTATGATAATGATCAGGATGACTATGACAGTATGACTGTTTCCTACTTTCCCATTATCGTCCGCTCCTGCTCTCGTACGTTGCAACCATTCATTTTGTCAAGGTTCTTGTTCTCCTTCTAACGTGGCATAACTCTCGTGGTTACGATCTCATTCTCCTCCCACACTTGCGTTTGTTTCCATGGTCCTTATATCTTTACTGTGGTGTCCCGACTGGTAAAGTGGGGAGCGTCTCCCCCTCCCCCTCTTGCCTCTCCTGGGTGCCTTCCTTACCTCTCGGGACGGGGATGATCAGATGTGTGTCCTCATCCCGGGCCAGTTGTCATCTAATGTTAATACAGACAACGCTGCTGCTGCTGCTGCTGCTTTACCTTACTGTTATACATCATCTGGACTTTACATCACAGTTTGTGACTGTTGACAGTAATATATGTAGGCCCAACGTATGTCAAAAAGGATTAGCCTGATTTCAGAACGCAGATATAAAATCAAACGAACTGCACCCTTATCGACCGGTCGTAATCAGTTTTGTTATATCTATGTAGCTGTTTGTCTTATGTGCACATAATGTCAGTCCTCTGACTGCTGCACCTTTTGTTAAGAGCAATGTGTTTTGCAGATACATTTCCTGGATCGCTGCCATGCAAGCTGGCTCCCCACATCAAAGGGTGTTGAAAAATCCCGCCACGGTATCAAGAATACCTGCTTGACTAAATTAGGCAGGACAATTGTTGGTAAGTGAGCCTCAACTATCCTTTGCTTAATACATAATTATCGCTCATGTCCTAAAGCAGTTTGGAGTTTATTTGCTTTCAGGAGCATAAAATGTTAGATTCTTGTTTCATGACATTTAAAAGGCGCAGAATTATGCACCATGTAGGGACCGACACTTAATACCTAATTTTTGCTTCACTTTGTGCTCTTTTTGTTTCAGGCTGATCAAAGATCAAGGCTCGAGTTCTTGTTTTGTTTTATGACACTGACAGGATGTAGAATTACACATTAAGTAGAGACCGACACAAAACAATTAATTTTTGCTTAATTCTTTGCTCTTTTTGTTTCAGACTGATCAAAGAACATGACATGGCAACCAAGACCCGAGTTCGTATGCACAATTTCTTTCCTGATTGTACGCCTTGTATTACATCTGAGGGGCATGTTTAGGAAGTTAAGCCGTTCGTTCATTGTATGCGCGACTGAATTTTTCCACTTTTAATTGGAAATGTATGTGCTAAAAACGTTTGTCAGGTGAGACAAATATAAACGGAACACCGCATTGATGTATGACTGGCTAAAAGCATCGAAAGGATTTTACTCCAACGAGCGAACAAGCGAGCTGAAAACTGATGAGGTGGGCCTTTAATTTGCATTTAACAAACCTTGCATTGAAACAAAAACTTTCTGCTAAAGTGCACGAATGTGTGTGTCTGAGCCTAAATCTATTTCTAGATACATATAGTCTGATATGCAACATCGAATACTAAACTAGCATATAGGTACCATGTATGTATGTACACGCATGTGTGTCACACTTGTATGGATATACGCAGATCCATCCATTAAATATGCTGCGAAAAATGTTGCATTATTGAGCAAAGCTTGTATGTTTATCTCTGAATATGTGAGCAAATGCTGAGGCTGGGTGGACGACTTGTGTGCATATTAAGGTCTCTGTAGCTTACTGCATAAGCTGAATTCTGCATGAAGCTGTATACATGTCATGTGCACATCTGTTTTAATTAGAGCGTTAAGTTATACCTCACCCGAAATATGTTCACAAAAAGAGTGCGGTGTTCTTGTTTTTGCTGAGTACGGCAAGAATTATGGCTGAATACAGCCATTCGCCAACCCACGAAAAAGCGGGTCATGCCGGTCAACAAAAAGACAATTTATCCGAACTGCCTTGAAACCCAAGGAATGATGATGTGAGCAAGGATGCTGGAAGACATGCACTGTCTACATGAATGCTCGAATACGTCACAACGAAACAATGAGTGAGGGCTGCAGAACAAACATTGCGTTGATGCGTAACCATTCATGCGTTAATTGCTACCGCCATATTTACCAGTTCATTATTACGCGATTTCCTTACGCTTCCTTACCTGTGCTCACACCAACTGACATCAAATACCCAGTCACTTGTCCTCAGCAGTATCCCACGACCCGCTCCTCCCGTCCTGCCACCCAGAGCACCAAACACCCCGTCACTGGTCCTCAGCAGTATCCCACCACCCGCTCCTCCCGTCCTGCCGCCGGAGCATCCCCGGCCGTCTGTCCTGACCGTTGTTCCTCTCGCCGGGGTCTGTCGGCCGGCGGGCCGTCGGAGATGGTATCGGATGGCGGGACGGGGTGGAGCCCGGCCCAGCCCACCCCACACCCCGCGGGGGAGGGGGCGCAGATCGGCCCGATAGCCGCCACTAATTGGCCTGCCAGGCGGCAGAGTCGCTTACCGACCGGGGGATGTGGCACTGAAGAGGAGCAGAATCGGGGGGACGGTGCACCGCTGTCCCCGAGGGAAAGGAGGTGGAGGTGTCAGGGATGAGCAGAGGCAGAGATTAGGGGATGAAAGAAATACGAGGCAGAAGTGAAACTACGGAGAAATACTTATATACGCAGACAAAAAAGCAATGACAATAATATACGGTGACTGAACTGTCCGATTGTCAAAAAGTAAAAGAAGGTGAAGAGGTCAAGGAAGAACAAAAGCAGGGATCAGGGGTTGGTGGAAAGACGAGGCGGAAGTGAAACTACGGAGAAATGTTCATCTATGCAGACAACAAGGCAATGACGGTAAAATAAACTGAATAAACTGTTTACCATTAGAAATAAATGGCATATTGCATAGAAAAGGTTGAAGATTGCATCATTCAAAACGTGCTCATTTAATAAGGAGCCACTCGATTTCTCTATCAACCCTAATCTGCTGACACAATGCCATATATATTTCAAGCATTACTACCAACATTTATCTTATCCACATTGCATCTCGTTTTTAAAAACGTGTCTCTGGCTTGTCCCCTCGATGACAATTTAGACCACGTTACGAGCTGTTTTCTGACCACACAGCTTACTCCGTGCCTCTCCATCTCACTGGCGGCCGCGGCGTGTCAGGGCCGATGGATGGGTGAAACACACTCGCTCCCCTTCCCCTCTCCAAGACCAGGCGGGTACGGATCGCTGATGTTCCTGCCAGCGAGCCTGGCCCCAGCCAGCCGCCGGCTCTGGGCATCGCCAATGTGACGGGAAGCGGTCACGGTCACAGGCCAAACCCAGCGCTGTCCCGGCGGCTTCAGGGAGGTATGGGGTATTAGTGGGGTATTTTTATTATTACTTTATTCGGGTACAAGTGGAGGCCAAGCGGTGATGGCATTTGATATCTAAAAATGTTCCGGAAATGCCATTGCGCAAACAGACTGTTGTTCAGTGAAAAAACAATGGCTCGGTCTTTCGTTAAGGTATGAAGTATTGCCTACAAAAGCAATCGTTGCGTTGTTTGATGCTTGCAAATTAGATCTCGACCCATTAAATGTGCCAATAACGCAGTTAAAAAAGATCGGGTATCTGTAAGTTTAGCACAATATTTCACAGCTAATAAGACAAGAGGCGGGGTTCACCGATTCATAACACACTCCGGACATAAGTGATTATGTGTTAAAAGCCCATCGCTCTAGGTGAGGAAGATGCCGTTGCAGCACGTCTGATTATGGAATGCTTATGAAGATTTACGCGGAGCGGTGAGGGCTTTGCTCCACCCAATTGCTGGTGGCACGAACAGTCTATGGCGCCATATCTAGCGTACTGAACAACTGACCTACGGAAGATGCGCTGAAACTCGTCGCCGTGTGGAGAGGGGGAAATGATGACAGCCGTAGGGGGAGGGGACATGATCAAAGCTGTGAAGTGAGAGAAGATGATGGCAGGAGCTCACATTGATCTTCCGACACCTTGTAATCCATGCGACCCATCTACAAACGGTCACCAGACGCCACCCGTGGACTGTCCATCCAGTCATCCGGGATCCCATGACCCGCTTGGCACACATAGGTGCCGGTGTCGGACCGTCACGCGACCTTTCACCACCGGGTGACGCGACACGGCCGGCCGGGGTGGCGGGGCCCACTGTCTGACGGTGAGCTGCTGGCACCGGCCGCTGTGACGGACACCGGCCGGCCAGAACAGGACCGTGACCTCGGCCTGACGGACGGCGGCCCGCCGTGTGCACGTCCACTGACCCCTGGTGACCTTTCGAGCTGCCAGATCGGGCCAGTGCGCCGTCCAGCTCGGTTGGAACGTGTCAGTGCTACGTCGACCGGACCCAGTATGGGGGCTCGTGTGCTCATCGTGTTGGCTTTGGCTGTAGTGGTGTGTCAAGCCGCTTCAACAAGGCGAGGTGCGTATATCTGGTGTAAGGGTCTGAAACTGAGCCACGCTTTGTACGGCCCTATTCTGACTGAAGTGAACCTGAGCTTGCAGTAGAAGGTTGGAATTCAGTGTCAGTGATTACACAACAGAACATGATGTGCTTCTGATGCTTTTCCAGGTAGTTTTAAGGATCTTGTATCATAACCCAATGACTTTGATAGGCCATCCGCTCCCATTCTGACGCACTAATGAATGTAACGCTGTCCATTAAGCTTACTGAAGCCGTGCAACAGACTGACGCCGTCCGGGGGGGGGGGGGGGGGCGGCGGCACCGGCATGGTGAGATTGGCACGCACAACAACATAGAACCTATGCCAGTAAAGGCCTTGACTGGCCGTCTAGTGCACCTTGTTTAGTCTTTTAGTCTAGTGCAAATACAAAAAATTGCTTACACACCAGCTTTGCACTTCACGTAAGATGGAGCGGTTGGTTGGTTTTATCCCACATACATTTGCTGATGGTTTTTCTCAGTAATTCCCGGTGTTTGTCTGGACGGTGAGAGGAAGACCGACGGTTGTAACCGGTGCTCCTGCTTGGGAGGCGCCTGGGCTTGCACCCTCAGAGCCTGCGTCGACCCCGCAGGTACAGGCCGGGGGGATAGTGCACCGCTCTGTATCAGATGTGACGTCAGGAGTACCCCATGATCAGTATGGTAATGATCAGCATGACTATGACAGTATGACTATTTCCTACTTTCCCATTATCGTCCTCTCCTGCTCTCGTACATTGCAACCGTTCATTTTGTCAATGTTTTTGTTCTCCTTCTAACGTGGCATACTTCTCGTGGTTACGACCTCGTTCCCATTCCCACACTTGCGTTTGCTTCCATGGTCCTTATATCTACACTGTGGTGTCGCAACTGGTAAAATGGGGGGCGTCTTCCCCTTCTTGCCTCTCCGGCGTGCCTTCCTTACCTCTCGGGACGGAAATGATCAGATGTGTGTCCCCATCCCGGTTGTCATCTAATGTTAATACAGACAACTCACTTCGCTACTGCCTTACAATACTGTTATACATCATCTAATCTTCACATCACTGTTTGTGACTGTTGACGGTCACATGTGTAGGCCCAAAAGCACATCAAAAAGTATTAGCCTGATTTCAGAACGCAGATCTAAAATCATATAAAATCATATAAAATCAATCAATAGGCAGGACAATTGTTGGTAAGTGAGCTTCATCTGCCTTTTGCTTTGTACATAATTATCGCTCATGTCCTAAAGCAGTTTGGAGTCTGCTTTCAGAAGCATAAAATGCTAGATTCTTCTTTCATGACACTGACAGGGTGTAGAATTACGCATTAAGTAGGGACCGACACAAAACAATTAATTTTTGGCTAATTTTTTGCTCTTTTTGTTTCAGGCTGATCAAAGAAAATGGCATGGCAACCAAGACCCACGTTCGTATGCATAATTTTTTACCTGATTGTATGCCTTGTATTATATCTGAGGGTATGTTTAATAAGTTAAGCCGTTCGTTCATTGTTTGCGCGACTGAATTTTTCCACTTTTAATTGGAAATGTATGTGCTAAAAACGTCTGTCAGGTGATACAACGAAATACCACACTGATGTATGACTGGCCAAAAACATCGAAAGGATTTTACTCCAACGAGCGACCAAGCAGGCAGAAAACTGATGAGGTGGGCCTTCAATTCGCATTTAACAAACCTTGTATTGAAACGAAAACTTTCTGCTGAAGTGCACCAATGTGTGTGTCTAGGCCTAAGTCTATTTCTAAATACATATAGTCTGATATGCGACATCGTTTACTAAAATAGAATATACGTAGCATGTATGTATGTGCACGCACGCGTATCGCACTTGTATGGATATACGCTGAACTGTCCATTAAATATGCTGCGGAATACGTTGCTTTATTCAGCAGACCTTGTTTGTTTATCTCTGAATATGTGAGCCAATGCTGAGGCTGGGTGAACGATTTGCGTGCATATGAAGGTCCCCGTACCTTATTGCATAAGGTGAACTCTGCATGAAGCTGTATACATGCCATTTGCACATCTGTTTTAATTAGAGCGTTAAGTTGTGCCTCACCCGAAATAAGTTCATAAAAAAGAGTGCGGTCTTCCTGTTTTTTGCTGAGCACGGCAAGAATTATGGCTGAATACAGCCATCCGCCAACCCACGAAAAAAGCGCGGCAAGTTTGTCAACAAAAAGGCAATTTATCCACGCTGCCTTGAAACCAAAATGAGTGATGATGTGAGCAGAGATGCTGGAAGACATGCACTGTCCACATTAATGTTTGAGTACGTCACAACGCATCAATGAGAGAGGGCTGCCAAACAAGCATTGCGTTGATGCGGAAGCATTGATGCGTTAATTACTACAGCCAATGTACCAGCTCATTAGTACGCGATTTCATTACGCCTCCTTACATGTGCTCAAACCAATTGACATCAAATACCCAGTCACTGGTCTTCAGCGGTACCCATCCACCCGCTCCTCCCGTCCTGCCGCCCTGAACATCAAACAACCCGTCATTTGTCCTCAGCGGCACCCATCTACCCGCTCCTCCCGCCCACACGCCAGGAGCATCACCCGTCCTGACCGTTGTTCCTCTCGCCGGGGTCTGTCGCCCGGCGGATCGTCGGAGATGGTATCGGATGGCGGGGCGGGGTGGAGTCCGGCCCGGCCCACCCCACACCCCGCGGCGGGGGCGACGATCGGCCCGCTAGTCACCACTAATTGGCCTGGCAGGCGGCAGAGTCGCTTACCGACCGGGGGATGTGGCACTGAAGAGGAGCAGAATCGGGGGGACGGTGCACCGCTGTCCCCGAGGGAAAGGAGGTGGAGGTGTCAGGGATGAGCAGAGGCAGAGATTAGGGGATGAAAGAAATACGAGGCAGAAGTGAAACTACGGAGAAATACTTATATACGCAGACAAAAAAGCAATGACAATAATATACGGTGACTGAACTGTCCGATTGTCAAAAAGTAAAAGAAGGTGAAGAGGTCAAGGAAGAACAAAAGCAGGGATCAGGGGTTGGTGGAAAGACGAGGCGGAAGTGAAACTACGGAGAAATGTTCATCTATGCAGACAACAAGGCAATGACGGTAAAATAAACTGAATAAACTGTTTACCATTAGAAATAAATGGCATATTGCATAGAAAAGGTTGAAGATTGCATCATTCAAAACGTGCTCATTTAATAAGGAGCCACTCGATTTCTCTATCAACCCTAATCTGCTGACACAATGCCATATATATTTCAAGCATTACTACCAACATTTGTCTTATCCACATTGCATCTCGTTTTTAGATACGTGTCTCTGGCTTGTCCCTTCGATGACAATTTAGAACACGTTACCGCAGGCATCGACGAGCAGTATTGTGAATAGCCCTAACACGCACTGCCTGGTATCTTGCGCCTTGGTGTCTGAGCTCCGTTTGTGTGTGCGGCTGCAATCCGTGCATTACGGTGTCTGGTCTTATAAAAAAACGCATGTTTATTCATTGCTTCTAAGGTTTTAGTGTCTCCGCAACTGCAGTCGCGTATAGGTATTTTACGACGGTAGTACACAAATAAACATGTCGGCCCTGCTAGCCACACCGCCCGCGTCCAATATGTAGCGTGGTTTTCTCCAGTCTTTACAGCCGCACAGGTCTGGTATCACCATTGGGTACTCAGCTCTCAGCCGTGGTATATTTACGGCTGCACGCCTGAAACTGTTGGCCTGCCGGGGACAGTGCAGCCGGTAAATACGGCATCCACAGCAGCAGGGTGGAGTCCGAGGGGCGTCGCACAATGCTGGCTGGCGAATAGGCCGGGGAGCTTATGCGCATTATAGAGATCGCTGGCGGTGATTGCATTCAGGCTGAGGCACGCACCGTCTGGTGCCATTAACGTGCCACACCGAAGCGAAGGGGCACCTTAACCCGGATCATTCATCCTGCTAACCACCAAAAGGTGGCATGCAACGCGAGCAAAGCAAAGTGACCTCCTCCAAAGCGCCAATCAAATATAACCTGGCCCGTAATTCGGTATCATCGG